ATGACTATTCGAAGATTCCTCAACCACTGGTAAATCTTTTCGTTTTCCTGATACGCTCACCATTCACGAAAAGGAACACCAACTGGTAATTGCTTGAACAGCATGTACACCTAATTGGTTATACCTGTTTGTGAACGAATTATTTTTAATTGACTTAATGGAACAGGGGGGGGGGTAATGGAGGATGCAATAAGCCACGGTTTGTTTCCTCTGGGGCTGTCTGTAAAAACAAATTCGAGATGCATATCGGTGCGTCATCGCGAACGTGTAGGCCGACGTGGGCGTGTTCGTATGCCTTAAGTTCGTGGCACGTGGGTCGTCAGGAAGAGCCGTATTGGGCGCGTGGCGCGTGGCCGATGAATTTTTTCCCCTGTCACCGGCGTTGATTATTTTCACGTCCGTTATCGTCAGGATAGGTACACGTGCGACCGGTTAGAAAATTCATTTCGACGGTTCTGTCGTAACCTCTCTGACTCGTAACGAAAGCTGCTTCGTCTGACAATAAGGTACATCGATGCGTTTACTTCTTGAATCATGTCTATTGTATGTTTTCCTAATTTGTAAAGAGAAATTAATTTGTTTCATTCACGAAGCTGATTCATCTAATTTTGTACATTATCTACAAATCATGGGGATCAAGTGTTAACATTTGAATAAGATTGACAGTATACGAGCCGTTTACTTTTTGATAGTGGTGTAAATCCATTTTCCTATATATTGAGATCAGGGACTTCTACCGAAACGTAAAATACCGGTATTATACCGAAGAAGAATTGTCCTAGTTAGCTCAGTGTTGGTCGATGTAGTCACCTGAAAAGTGAAACATTGAATTTCCTTTCTTCTCGAAAATTATAACAATTTGTAACAGAAGCGTAGTTTTTGACGACGAGTAAATAAAGTGTAGTTTGAGGTTCGAAGTAGTTGAATATAATAAGTCAAATTTTTTGGAACGAATTGACTCAATGTTTCGTCAGTATTGTGGCTAAGTAAATTCATCAGAGGTTGAATAATACCGATAATTTTATTCAGTATATGTGTAATTACCGTTAATTATGAAACGACATAAAAAAATTGCTTTTTGCTCGTTAGCGAAACCGCAAATTATTCTGTAATTTTCAGAGCCAGCGGAAATGATTTGTAGAGAGGGCGGAAACGTGATTTTTAAAACAATATTGCATGAATTTTGATAAAAGAAGAGATATAAACCTCTCAAAAATCAAATTGGCCGATCCCGTAAAATAAAACACAGGGAGGATCAATAGTAACTATGCAAACAAATCAGTGTTACACAGTCAATTATTTAACGTGTACGTTTTAAAACGCAAAACATAAAATATGTAAAAGATGAACAAATGTGTATAATAAAATATGAAAAAACAAAATTTACACAGTTCGTAGAATTTAGAGTTGACACAAATTTGGCTCCCGGAAGGTTCAAACGATAATTGCTTCCCAGAATTCCCAGAAAGAATCATCCACCCCTAGTAGCCACATTCCATTCAGTGTCCAAGTTACACCCAAGTAATCCCCTTGTATAGGTCACGACCCTTCCGTGGCATTCGGTCGAAATCGTTAAAAACTTCAGTCAATCGATGAAAAATTTACCATTCGTGATCTTTGGCCGAGACCAGGAGGGGGAGGATGAGAGCATCGAAAAGTATATTCATCCCATGTGGGGCGCAGACGAGATAACCAATAACCGTGCGCGGGGGCCAATAACCGCGGAACGTTATCCAGCCTACCGTTTATTAAACGTTTCAGCCTCTCTCTCTCTCTCCCTCTCTCTGTGGCAGTTTGCTGAAAAAAAGAAGAAGAAGAGGAAGACGTAAAAAAAAATACGCTGCAGTCCAGACCGGTACATCCGGGCGGGAACTTTCCTTTATGCTCGGCCCTCACGGTCGAAACTACTTCGCCCACACGAAAGAGACGACGGGTCACACCCATTTAATTTCGCGGTTTCTCTTCTTTCATCTTCCCTGCTCAGGTTTCTCGGGCACCGTTGCTTGCAATTCGCCCCTCGTCATCGTTCTCCGCCTCTCGACCTCCACATTGACGTTGCCGGTGTGTGTCCGGCTCTACTTTTCGTTCTGATTAGCCCGGCCGTTTATCCCATTGAATGCAGCACCCCCGAGGTTCACCGAAAGTACGACTTGCTACGAAGAACACGTTGGTACTAGTCAATTAAGTCTTTATTTGCAGGTTTAGGGATTCTTGAGCACGAACGCTTTAATTGATGATCGCATCCATTTAATCTTGCGGTTAAGATTAGATTTTCCTAGCACTTTTGCCATCACATTCGTCTTATTCAATTTTCTTCCACCGACAATTGTATTAGTGGCGAGAAACGCGTTATAACTAATCAATTAACCCTGCTATGGTCTTCAGTGGAGGCTGTACATTCGAAATAATGACGAGGAGGGAAAAGCATGTAGATCAATTAATGGAAACGTACCTTAAGAATATTTCTGTACAGACGGGATTAAGATTATATTGAAAAAGTCTGTCAAGCCATGACAACGGTAAAGAAATGGAAAACTCAAATATTCGAATACTTAAATATTCGAATAGTCTTCGGATACTCTAATATTCGAATACTTAAATATTCGAATAGTCTTCGGATACTCTAATATTCGAATACTGAAATATTCGAATAGTATTCGGATACTCTGATATTCGAGTACATAAATATTCGAAAAGTGTTCAGATACTCTGATATTCGAATACCATTCGAATTTCATTCGTCAAGAATTAAACAACTAAAATATTCAAATATTCGAATACAGAAAAATTTGACAAATCCCAGCCCTAGTTAATTACTACTCAATTAAATCTTCACTCGTTGGTTCGTCGTTTCTCGATCACGCACGCTCTAATTGCAGGCACACAATTAACGAGCGTAAATAAACGACCCCTCCCTCTCACCACTCGGCACGCCCCCACCGCGCCGTGGCTCCTGTAATTAATTCTCCGCTCGTCGTTATCCCGAGTAAACGAATTGTTCCGCGGATCCGCGCGAAATTTCCGCCGTTTTGGTGTAACGAACCCCACCGCGAAATTGGGAAACCCGATCTTGTCGAGTTATTCAAATAACGGACGCTCCACCGCGGCGCTTTACCATCTAAATTCTCTGAAAAATAGAGTTAGAATAGTTAAGAGCTCAGGCGACAATATACAGTAAGCTTAGAAAGCAGTAAAAGAAAAGAAAGAAAAACCAGGAGGAAGTGCAATACAGTTTATGGGACTTGCGATTAGATAGTACGAAAAACAACAAGTAGAGCAGTAATATAATAAAAGAAGTAAGTTAGGGGAATACGGTGGAAAGTAATTAAAATAGAAAGTGAATAAACCAAATCGAGTATGGAAATTAGTTTTCAAGAGTTAGGTTAAATGTAAATCAAGTCCAAATTTCTCAGACTGAAATAAAGAATATACATAGCACCATGCACATGCAATCTGAACAGTATATAAAGATTTCAATCTACAAGGAATAAGTATTAAATTTCATTTAATTAAATAAATGCAAGTTAAGCACATTTTTGGCAAAAGTTTCTATTCTTTATCGCCAAGATAGAATCTGATCTGCTACTTTCCTGGCTCCTTTGCACGCAACGTGGGTTCGCGAAAGGGATTACTGTAGCGCTATAGACAGCACATGAAGAAGGAAGATAAAGGGCGACACTGGAAGAAGAAGCGGTCGATCGGACTCGACCCATGGAAGCACGACATTCCTTGGCAAGGTGAAACGATGTTAGCGATGGGCTCGTGCCAGCGCGTGTCGCTTATCCTTTGAACTGCGACGAAGTTACTTCCGGTTCCATGATCGTTGCTCCTTTCCTCCTTCCTGCCTCGTTGCCATCTGATTTCATTCGATTCCGTGGCTTCGTATCGCCCACGGTAAAACTGTTCACCATTTCTGAACGATATTTCACCTTATTCCTCCCCCGTTTCGCTCGATTCGCATCCTTCAGCCGTAAATTCCAGCAACGTATACGATCTGTATTTTTATCCAGGGTGTTAATAAAAATATAGCCACTTTCATAAAGTAGATTGTACACAGTGATGGATGAAAAGCATTTGAAAAAGTATTTGAGTTACGAATACCTCACGAATTTGTAATCTTATTTGTTCTCATGTGCCACATACATAATTTAACTAAATCAATATTTCTACTTAAATTTTTGATTTGGATAATTATATTAGTGTACTGCGAACGTGCCAGAAGAATTCCAAAGTTACCTAAAGATACAAGAATTATATCTCAGAAGGACATCCTTAAATACTGCTGCTTTTCACTGTGTATTATTCGAATAAAATTCTGCCCAACTCTGCAGGGTATATAGTTTTCCCAAGGGACACACGTGTCAGTCAAACAGACGCGGAAATCGATCCGGTTTTTCTTACCTGCAGACGACTCGTACGTGCTTCCCGAGCCGTCGTGTCCGCTGGCCGGTCGCCAGGGAGCCGAAACGCCACCGCTCGAAGATAGATTCACTGGCAATTCCCGCCGAAAGACACTCCGACGGGATTCGAGAACTCGCGCTGCGAGGAATCGCGTCTCGTCGTGACAAAATTCGCGATGGGGAAACGAAATTTTCGTTGGATCGAATTCCGTCGAGGGATTCAATCCTTCCGTTTCTGTGGAAAATCCTTTAACCGTTGGAAATTTCGTAAAGTTTCAGAGTCATATATATTTGTATCTTCTCTTAACTTGAAAAATGTAACCAGATAAAAGTTTTAATGAAGCCCAAGAGTAGTTACGTGTTATTATTAATGTAGTAGAGTCTCCAGTCTATAATTCAAAAATTCATTTCAAAGATAAATGTCTACATTTACCCCTGTTTTTAAAAATGACTTTAGAAAATGTCATTTTGCATAAATATCAGCAGTCTATACTCATCATAAAGACTAATTTTGAATTGAGGTACCAAAAATCATGTCACCTGTATGTGGGTGTCGTGACAGTCAAAGTGCTAATTGTTTTGAATTTTCACTGGTTTCAGAGTCGACGACGAGGTGACCACCACTAGCACGGAGACACACGTAGATACCAATCAAGCGATCATGGCTAAAAGCGCTGAGAGGCTGCCCGGTACCTCCACCAGGCTGAGGACCAGAGACGACGGCTGTTGCTCCGTCAACTTTCTCAAATATGTTCTTCACATTTACAACGTGGTGTTGTTCGTAAGTACCATCGATCTTTTACACTTACATAAAGTCAATGTCCTTACTCAATCTCATTCTTCTTCTCCCTCAAAACGAAACAAGTTTTGTCTAAAATACTATCTTACGAAATGCTTTGCTTTTATTACACTTCCATGGGTCAATTTAAATGCCGCACCCTGTATACTGTTATCAACAATTTTTTCGAGAAACGAAAAGTATCAGAAACACTACAACCACTACGATAACCAGGGACTTCTACCGAAACGTAAAATACCGGTATCGTTCCGGTAAATACCGGTATTATTTCGGTATTTTGGGTTGTACCTTCGCCCTATATAACCTTATATAAGCCCTACCTTTATAGAAATCGAAAAAATACCGGTATTTACTTCGGTTTCGGTATAGCGTTGATGACATTACACCGGTATCAAAATCATACCGGTATTATACCGGTATTTTGGGTTGTACCTTCGCCCTGTATAACCCTATATAAGCCCTACCTTTATAGAAATCGAAAAAATACCGGTACTTATTTCGGTTTCGGTATAGCTTTGATGGCATTACACCGGTATCAAAATCATACCGGTATTATACCGGTATTTTGGGTTGTACCTTCGCCCTACATAACCCTATATAAATCCTACCCTTATAGAAATAAAAAAAAATACCAGTATTTATTTCTGTTTTCGGTAATATATCGGTTTCGGTATAGCTTTGATGGCATAATACCGGTATCAAAATCATACCGATTTAAATCCCTGTAACTTCCTATATCGCGTCAATATTCCTAGCCCCTCCCCAAGAGGAAAGTGTCGTCGCGCAAATGAACGACGCAACTTCCGCGCGTGCCTAGGGACTTTTAAGCCGTAGCTACAGGCTTTCGCTTTTCGCGGAACGGTCGTGCGCGTTGTAAGCTAGGCGTTCGAACATTCTGACCCGCGGGATGATACAACCCATAAAATGCTAATGAAGTCGGGCGCCGTGTTGTACGGCCAAATGTGAGGGGAAAGAAGAGCAGAGGCGTCGAAAGGAGCGAAGAATCGCAAAAAGAGGAACACGAGGATACAAATCGATCGGTAGCCCTCGCCGCGATGCATCGCAATTTAATGCATAAAACGTCATCGCCTCGTTGGGAAACGGCCCCTTACCGTGCACAAGATTAAAAATATGCTGGCGACTTGTTCGAAACTTGTACCCTGTTATTGCCGAGGCCGCCTTTCCGCGAACGCTCGTTTTTCATAATTTTAGCCGGTTCGATGTCCCATTTCTCTGAACCGTCTTACGTCCCCGAAGGCGACTGAACTGACTCGAACGGTGTTTGACCAGTACACACCCCAATTCGGTTTTTACACAAACTTTTTGCACATGATTTTGATTTAATACGAGTTAGAGAAAAAGTTGCATGCTTTTTTTACACAAACTGTTTGCATTTAACACGATCCACCAAATTGTGGGAAACTATTTTTTTTTGATAGATCTTGAATGAAGGTCTTAAGCTGCGTGTACACTATATAGCAAAGTTAGAAAACTTGTTAGAAAAACAGAAAGAAAAATGTTATATAACGTGATGTCACGTAACATTTTTCGTGTTACATAGCAAGTTATATGTTATCCGTCTAATGTGACGCCGTTAATAATAATGAGACGCGAAATGTTATACAAACGTGTTACAGACTTTTATTTTCTTGAAAATAAGTCAATATAAAGATACTTGTAATCTTGGCCACAAAAAGGCACTTTACAGACCATCTAGCCCTATTAGCACGATTTTTCAGACACTTCCGATGATTTGGAAAAAAAATGTTTTCAACAAAAGTTGATCAGTATACATTTTTCTACAAATTTCAATATAAAAAATTAAAAAAAAAAATTTTTTTTTAAATAGAGGTCACCTATTTTGTAAATATTAATATATATTTTTTACTTCATAATATTCTAGCTGGTATCGAGACGAATTCAACGACCTACTATACTATAACCTTAAACCTTGAAATAACGGTAAAATAATTTTTGTTAACCGTGTATTATTACACTCGGATCCAAACAGCAAGAAAACACTTGGGTGCCCTCGGGTGTACGGAAAGTCGACGTTAATAATGTGTAACGCGAAATTCCTGAATAGGAGCTGCTACACAATGAAAATCAGACCGTGGTTCCCGAACGTCCTCGAACATCGGACCTTCCCCCATTATTTAATCGGTAATTAGTAGCTGGTTCGGCGATCCGGCCAAGTGTATAATTAAAAGCCATCCAGCCCCGATCTCCCGCGGAAAGTTCGGTATTGCATCGTTCAAAATTTCAGCGGTGATTTGCATTTTATAAGATTATTCGATTGGCCGTATGATCGATCGAGAGTTGCAAACAAGGATGCTAATCGAATAGCGATGGACGATATACAGGGTGTCCAGATTAAATTTGATTTGTAGAACGATGAATTTGATTTGCAAAAAGTTGAATTTAGACTGCAAAAACTGTATAATGAATTACCATAGAATACATATTGTTAGTTGATTTTTAATTGGATCGAAGGTAACAATTCTTCAGCGTTCGATTGAGATCATTCTTTGGCTACAAAAAAATTTCATTGGGCGAAACTTTAAGAGATTCATTGCGATACGAGACTTGTACAATGGATGTGTTCGTGTCTGTGGTGAGTCGAACCTGTGATTTGCATACCAAAAGACGTTTCGATTGGCCTGGCGATGCGATCGTTCGAAAGTAACAAACGGAATGGTAATCGACTGGCGATCGACGGTATCGATAATCGTGGCAGAAAACAATGTTCGTACCTTTGATCGTGGCTCGACTTCCATCGTGTTCTCGTCGTGTAATTAAATCATCGACAGAACGATTAATTAACCGATACTGAGTATCGGACAAGAACGACCGTTTGCTTTTTGTATCTTGGAATATTCGATTGTTAAGAAATACCTACGTCGAACTAGTTGCCGTAGATAAACCGATTAATTACTCAATTTTCTTCTCTCTGGGGCACACAGGATTTCTTCTTACATTTTATGCTTCTACCGAGAAATTGCACCACGGCCTCGTTATTGTACGTCGATTTGTTCTTCTTTCGTAACACTTTGTCGACGGTCGTTACGTTTTTATTTGCACCACTGATCAATATCTTATTTCAGAGAAATTGGGTTTTATTATGAATAATAACATTATAATGGGAATTATTATGTATAACTGTGATAAAAGTAAGAAAGTCGTCGAATGGCACTTTCCGTATTTAATTTCCCGTATTAAATTAACAAGAGCGTCCATATTGTTTTTGCACCCGGACGGCCAACAACCCAGGAATGGCCCTGCTTTTATGGTAGTCTGTGACGAACGTTTCCGAAACTATACGGTCGTAGCGAACGTGTTCCAGTAACGTTCATCATCCATTTGAGAGAAGTCGTGCAGCAGACGTCGCGCGTCACAGGTCGAAACCATCGGCGAATTTCAACCGTTAAGAAAGTCTCCGAAGCCAAGGAATCCCGTAATTACATGCTCACAGCAAGAGGCAGCCCCGAGTAACGCTGAGTTACTCCTCCTGACTTCGTAGCTGCCAGGGTGACTGCACTTCTGAACGCAATCAATGCTGGTAAACGCACGACGTTGAGCGACCGGCATTGTTGCACGGCCATTGTTCCCAGCCGGGTTATTGTTGCATTATCCCCGTATTATCGAGCCTTATTACGGGAAGGGAGTTTAACGCTAGAACTACCAAGCAAGTAAAAAAATGATTCCAATACATTCTTACAACGATGATTAAAATGTTATAACAATTCATTTTCTCAGATCTTTTGTAACTTTTATTACGATACGACATTGAAGAAATTAGTTAATTTTTAAATTTGTAAATTTGCAAAACTTTGCCATATTTATCGATCGATCGGAAAAGATATGCGTTTATCGTTGGTAGACGACATTTCAGGTTAAACGGAATTTTAACCCTTGAAAAAAAATTTGTTTCCTTTTTTCTTAAAGAAAGGTTTGTTATTTAATTCTAAATTCACTAGACGTACTAAAAACATTCAGAACATGAAAAATCTCAAATTTAAAAGAAAAATATAGAACTGGTCGTGTTTCAAATTATACTGCAATATTCAATATTACGCAAAAATTTTGTAACTCTGGGAAAAGGGGGGAGGGATGCAAAATCCAATCTTTTTCTTGTAGGGTGGGGCAAGTGCCCCCTCCCCCTGACTACGTCCATGACTGTGGTTCATCTCGAGTGCATAAAAATATTCTCTCGTATCCATTCGGACTTCAGTCTTCTTCCCTTTCATGTTACCGAAAACTTAGCTCGTTAAGGGGGGTGTAACAGCCTCGGTAACACTTTGCCGAAGAAAATTGCCGGTGTTCCGATCCTCTTAGCAGTCCCTTAAGCCGGATTAATTTTAACGATCGCTAATAACGAATATCAAGGCACTTCCTCCGTGAACACCGGTGCGCTCGGGGTGGTACACGTAATAAAATACAATTATCTGACCGCGTGGTCCAATCGCATTACCTACCTATCCCGGGGGTCATTATAAGTTGTAATTCCCGCGTTCAGCGGGTCGTCGAAAGCTTTCGAAAAATGTCGCGCAATGAAAATTCCCTCTGATTTCTAATAGAGATCATTGTTCCGAACGTGTATTAACCCTTTGGGTACCGATTTATTTGAAAAAAATTTTGCACGCGGAACAGATTTAATTTTTTAAATAATAAGTTAGACTCGTCATCTTGTACTTAGGGAAAATAAGTGCATGACGAGTTTTAGTCGTTAAATGTATCCAAGGGGTTAAAAACACACGTGTACTATTTCATATTTATTGTAAATTGTAAAAAGTGACCTTTACTATTTCCTTCGCGATTCCGATCAATTGCAATTTTTTCAAAATTTTGTTACACATCATATAGTAACCTAATCCTAACATCACAAAAAAAAATTCAAGTCACTTGGTCCAATTTTAAAAAAGTTGTTCTGTTTTAATGGATCTGCGAAGACTTTTCTAACAGACTGTATATGTGTCCTGTAA